GTGCCTGTCCTCAACAGAAGTTTGCACGATGTATCACCGGCTTTACCAAAGGCAGCAGGAAACGGCAAAAGTTCTCGGATTTCAAGAGCTCGCATTGAACGCTTGTGTAGTCAACCCTGTGGTGGCACTCACGCGGCGCTCAGAAATTGAAACCAGTCCTTTGAGGTGATGCCTTTCTTAAGACGGTGACAGACTCTAGCCTGCAGACGAGAGCGCTGTTTGACAGCTGCCGCAGCAAGCGCAGTGATGGGATGTATTGGGAAGTAGAATCAGCTTTCTCCATTTCCGCATCCCTCCGCGGGCAAGCAAGGACACTTGCCTGGAGTTTTTGTCGGAGCAGCTTAAGGTCATCAAGGTGCCCAAGAACCCCGGCGCCGTTAAAGTCGTGCAGTCGTGCCACGTTAAGCCGTGGGCATTGTCTCCCATCATCTCGTGCAGAGAATTCCTGGGGCACCGTTCCAGGATCGAAAGCGATTGTGATGCGATTCTCGGTCCGCAGTTCAGCCTGAAGACCAAGGTGCCAGAGAGCAGAATCTGGGAGAGGTGGGCATTGCAGCAAAACTCTTTCGTGTTCAATGTGAGGTCAGACTACGAGTATTCCATCGACAACATTGATCTGTCTTCCTGTGCAGTTGACAAGGCCTTCCAGCAGAAAATCTTAAACAAATCAATCCCAAGCCAGCGTTTTTAATCACATTTCCCGCATCATGAAGGGCTTGCTGCTTGGAGCACATGCAGTGGCACAGAAACATGCAGAAACCGAACTAAGCTAACGGAACTGGCCCGGTGCGGAGAGGCCACGGATCTAGCATTGAGAATTAAGCTGAACCTGAAACGGCACACGCACCACTCTGCGGTCTCCAGCCTTGAGGACATGCAGTCCCCATGCATCGTGTGTAAACTCATGCATTTTGCCCATGTGTTTTTTGCTGAAAGCCGAGGCTGAGGCTTGCCCACATACGTGTCGACACTATCTCACGTGACACATCATGCAGAGATGCAGTTTGCGGAGGATGGCTTTCGAATCGAGCTGAAGCCACCCGGCATCTCGACGGCAGTTTGCGGGTACTTACGGCAGTACAGTACATTAGCCATCTTCAGACATCAGGGACAGCCGCACAAGAGACTTGTACGTTCATGAAAACTCTCAGGCGCACAAAGCAATGACTCCATCGAGAACGTCCCTGCTCAGGAAGGGTCAGGAGATGCACAAAGTGGCACCCTGAATCCGGCAGAAGGACGCGCAGAGATGAACTTGCGCGTCTGTGAAGCAGTCAGCGGTCCAGGATTGGCCACTGGCCGGAGTTTCAGACAACGTGCAAGCAATGTGTGCCCTTTGCCACATCGCTGTGTCGCATATGTGCTGCTCATTGCTGCTCTGAAACTTTGACTTAGTGTAAGTTTCAGGGTTCAAACTCATTCGGCTTGCTGTCAGTGAAATGCCTCATCTCGAAAAGGTGGCAGTCAGAGGCCAGATGTGACCAGTTGTTCAGACAAAATCTTAGTTCTTGGACACCAGGAGAGAGCGCCCCTTCCTTGATGAGCACGGGTGAAATTCTCCGCGTGACGGCGTGGGACATGAAGGCTTGCAAGGAAGTTCGCGAGATTCAGAGAGTGGTGCATTGTCAATTTCGTCACAGGTTCATATTCCGGCCGCTCGCTTGCATTGTGAAAAGGGTTTTTTTCGGCTTGTCCTGCACATGCCCATCGCACGAGGAGATGAAGTGGAAGCAGTGGCCTCAGCTGCTCGAGATTGTCATGTCCACCGTATGGGTTTGTTTGCAGAGCGATCTCAGGGGCGATTTAGTCTTTGAGACCAGGGTGCGCTTGCGTGCGAGGGGTGCGGGGATTCGTGTGCCTCTTTGTCTGTCTGTGTGGTAGAAGGAACAAGCTGAAACAAGCATGTCATGCGTGACTCCCTCTGGCAAGGTATGCGCAGAAGAAATTTCCATACTTTAATGGCCATGGTGCGGCAGCAACTACAGCACACGGCGCTCAAGTGATCCTGGCGTAGCATGTCGGCAGTTTGGTGGGTGGTGAAGACAGTCATGCGAATGTTCGATCACATCTGTCGGTTACGGTCTGTAGGGTCTGAGCTTCTTGAGCTTCAACACCGTGCTGACGGATCCGGGAAGTGTTGCGATGTCATGGACCCACAGTCTGCAAAGGTTCGAACTCCGCTCCGCCAAGGCCTGGAGGAATTGTCGAAATATTGAAGTTCCAGAGTTCCAAAACAGGTTCGTCGTCCGAGCGGGAAGTTTGGATGCGAACAGTTCGGTTATGCGAAGGTGAATGGTGCTCTGGTGCCACGTCTTGCACTTGCATTCAGTCGGGTCGTGCCAGCCTCAACATCCTTCGCCGTGCACAATCTCAAATTCCATACTCCGGCCTCTCGAAACAGTCCTGGCTTGACTGAGGTTATCGACAAGCTGGACCTTCGCTTTCAAGACTCGTCATTTAGCTGGCTGTACAACACGCTCGGCTGTCCGGCAGTTGAAACTGGGATGTCCGTTTGCACCTCAAGGAGTGTTTCGGGTGAGCTCTCGTCTAGTGTTCCTGTCATAACCATCTGCACATGCCAGTTTGCAATCGCGCGGTAGTCACCGACCCCGACCTTTGCCATGTACAAGCTTCCTAGTAGCTCGAGGCTATCTTTTCCAAGACGCCGTACGAGACTATGTAGTTCAAAGCCTTGCGGCCGCAGTGAACGCCGCTCGATGCAAACGTTGCATGCGCAGGCAATAGTCAATAGGGAAAGTTGGGAAGGAAGTCTTGACGGATGTGAAACTGGAGGTCTGCTTCGGGGGAGCTTGTAAGGACATATTCTGGAGAGGGATAGCTGACTCCAGTGTGATCGGTATACTCTTCTAAATATGAGAATAGTGGCATGGAGCATGCAAGCAGCGCAGGCATCCGGCATGAACTGAGAACGAAAGAGGTAAAGGGTCGTCACGTCGTCTCTGCAGGACTTGAGGCAGTCACAAGTTGCGACACAGCTGCTTTGCATGCCAAGCTTTCGCTGAGCTCAGGCAAACATTGCCTCGCTGCTGGAGCCGTTCCCTGTTTCCATGTTTTTGTGAGGTTCAACAAAGGATTCTGAAGCTTATCTCCCATCCAGCTGGTGTCTGCATGCCCCTTTGGCCCCTCTACGCTAAGCGCTCTGAATTTCTTCGGATGCAAGCTCGCGCTACTATAACAGCAAAGTCGTAGAGCCGGCAAGCTTGTCTTGAATACCATCCAAGACAGGCTGAACCGATATTTGCACCCCTACTGGCCTTTGGTGCTCTCCACGGTCGCCATCCCACTGGCGGAGCTGCCCCAGTGCGGCACAGAGGACCGAATAGAGAGTTCACGAAGATCACTCGTAAGAGCTACCGACACTGAAACAGCGGCGAGCCCATTCTTGGTCAGTGGCTGTAGACTTTGGTGCCTTCGCATTGCCAAGCGGCAGCCCGCGAGGAGTATGTTGTGGAGCTGGGCATCGGCCTCAGGAAGCGCCAGGGCTGTAGCCAAGAGTTATGCAGAGCCTGGCACAGCGTGTGAGCTACCCGATGTATACGGCTGGAGAGCTACGAGATGGTCAGTCTTTTATTCCATAATAGCAGTTACTCCAACGCCCGCTCATTCACTTCCCAGACTCGCGCAAGAGGCCTAGAGACGGAGGAACCGATTGGCTGCGACTTTGTGGACGCGGACGCGGGGCGATCCAAAGCACACTAACAACGAGACGTCATGTGTACTGCAGTGTATAACGAAGCACGTGCTCACCAAACTTGATAACTGCATGCTTGTGTTTCAAGGAGCCTGCAGGCCTGAAGCTTTGACCCTATCATGTCTCAAGTTGCTCTCTATTGCGCTGTTTACATTCATGGGAATGTAGACTTGCACTCTCATTTTGTGTCCTGGCAGTTGCCAGCAATGTCAATGTCATTGCCCGCACGATGTTATTGGGTATCCCGCATCAGGAAGATGGGCTGGTGCTTCTAGCCTTAGAGGAAGGAGGCAGGACATGGACATCCCCATTTGCTAGCATGGGACAGGACCCAAAGTAATCCTCCCGCAGCAAGGCCCGCTCGAGCGCTGGAACGAAACGGCGACAGAGCAGCGTAAGGCCAACTGACGTGGATCGCAGCACAGCTGGTCACGTGCTAGCCATGGTGAACAGAGCCAAACTAGCTGCAGTTGCTCACTTGCCTAAACGATCGTCTGCACAGCCACGAGTCAAGTTTTACTCATATTCCCGAACACAATGCGAAATGGATGGCTTGCCCAACTTGACCTTCTTCAGTCCGTAAGACGTCAGTGGCCCGGTTGCCCAACCCCACCCCCTCCGTCTCTTCTTTGCCCTGGCCTCCTGTTTCCGCGCCCGTCCCTTGTGCGACAAGAGCGTGCGACTGTGGAACACAATTTGTGCACTTGCTCTCGGAAGCTGCATAATACACAGGGCAACGGAGGGCAAAGTGGGGAAATAGGTATTCGTGCAAGTGGGGCAAGCCGCTGTAGCGGTCCAAGTTTGTACGTGCACCGCAGTGTTGCGCTTAACGACGGTTTGCTTGTGTTTCCAGGTTTGTATCAATGACCTCCTCGTCGAAGTGGACTGGGTCAGGGTTTGGGCGCATATCCTGTAAATGCATGTTTGTACCCAGTGCTGGGGCAGCATCTGCAGCTGGCATAGAATGAAAGATCGAACTCAAGTTTGTTAGTCAGCCGGTCAGGCCGTCCGAATCGTTCGCTACCCGGAAGGACGGTTTACGCAAGCAGGACATTCCCGATGCGCTTGACAGACGACCTCTCCACGCTCCTCGTTGTCGTTAGGCTTCGGCTCACTCTTCAACAACAGAAGGCACGTTGCTACAGCATGTTCCCTGACTGAGCTGCAGGCCCATCTTCACATGTCTCCAAACATCTTGCTTAAGATGACCCTCAGAACTCATGCATCGCAACTCTGAGGAGCTGGTCTTCCGCCGAATGCCCAAGCAGGCGTCCGCACTGGGTTGAATCTTTTCGCGATCCGCGACGGCAGTACTAGTTCCCGTTCTTATCAAAGGAAGCAGCTCCCACACTCAAGCGACGATAAGGCCTGCCCCCTTTTTTTTGCAGGCGGCCTCGTTTCTTTGCATGGGCGGCAGCAGGTAAGCGCAAAAGTCTTCAGTAGCGAATGGCTGCTCTTGCTGGTTACGGTCTGACGTTTTTGCCCTTTATGAGGGATGTGTATGCACTTTTGCACAAGATAGCGTCCCGACATCAACAGGTCAGGAGATTCAGAAAACAGTCCGAAGCCGAGCCACGATTGATACGGGGGTAACTTGTTTCCAGCTCACCGTTTTGTATCGAAAGCTCTCTCCAGAATGGTGTGCCGCGCACCGGAGCAGCAGAGTGCAAGGTCTATGACTCATACAGTAGAGGAAAGATATACAAAGAGTGAAAAAGAAGCAAAAGATTGCAACTGTGCCCATGGAACAACAGAAGCGGTGGCAGGGCAATTGGATGCGACTGCTGTGTGCTTTCGATGTTGCCCAGAGTTTTAGCTTAAACATCCCCTCCCCTTCTACTTGTGGGGCTGCGCCAAGGCCGGGCAATGCCGTATGCGGCTGGGTGCCCAAGCACACCTCGGATGGCGAGCGCGCCCCGCGCCCGCAGACTGTCCCCGTCAAAGGAATGGCGGTGGCATGGCGCGACTCGACGCGCAACGCGCTTTCCTTGCATGGCCTCAGACCTCCGAAGGCGAACATTTGGGATGTGAAGTGTTTCGTTGGCCGTTCCGGAATTGGCAAGAACCTCCTGTGGCATCACGAGCATCATTGGAGCCTCGTTTCTTCTTCCTGAGGGCCCCCACTCTCACCCGAAAATCACGCTTTGTTGTCAGGATTTTCTGAGAGCGGGATGTGGAGCCGCTCTTATGAAATAGCACCGGGAATCGCCGGAAGGTTTGCGACGTTTCGCGCTTTGCGAGTGGTTTCGAATGTGCACCCCCGATCCGCCCAGTTTCGGAACGGTCCCAGGAAGCAACGCGGGTATTCAGGGTCCGCGGACAAAGGCCTATACATGCATATCACGCTCCGCCGCAATAACAATACTTTCACCGTCGTTGGCAAAAGGACGCCGCTGACGGGATGAGCCCCCGACAGGGGAAGGTGAACGAAAGGGAGCATAGGGAGCGAGCAATTGAGCAGAAGAAGAGCAAGCTGAGCAAGCAAGAGATCTCAGGAAGACGGCTCCCAATAGTGTCCTGGGTCGCGAGAACCGTAGCTCCGGGCAGACGTTCGTGCTAAGGCTATTTCAACTGAAGTGCATTAAAGCTGAGGGCTTGCGGCTTATACGGGGCTGCGAATGTTGACAATTCACTAGCAACGCCTCCAACCTGCGACGGAAGGAATTGCCGCCTCTCGACGACATGCAGATTGTTGCTTTGCCCGCAGAACTACTGCAACAGTTGTCCTTTGCGCAATTCAATCGGCTTGTTCCTCTTTGACAGTGACATGCATCCAAGGAATCGCTCGATGATTTCTTGGGCTCGCAAATGCCCGCTGTTATGTAGGCAATTCCGCTACTGCAGATTCAGTCCTCGTGATGACGGCTGGTCTGATTTTCCACACCGAGTCCAACTCATCCATTAAGGGATGAGGCGTGTTGCATAGTGGACGTGTCCAGACTAGTCAGCTTGGTTGTGCCAAAACGACATAACCAAGCTTTCCAGCAGGCCTCGTGCTTTCCATCGTTTTCAGCAATCCAGTTGAGAAAAGACTGCCTTACGCTGTCTGTCACTGAAGTCTAGTCTAGACAAGTTACACAGCATCACAGCAGTCTTCGGAACAGCGTCTGCAGAGTGCTAGCTCCGTCCATCCGCAAGGTTGACTCATTTTGACTGCAGAGTTCCACCACCGTGCTTCAGAAATCTAGTGACTTAGCGTCTGATGCTAGGAGCCAAGCAAGCTGACAGCACGCAGCGAAGACGAAGCTGATGTGAACTGAACGCTTCAAAAGAAGTCAAACTTGAGTGAGTGCTCCATTCTCGGACCCCAGCCAAATAGAATCAGCACTTCACCTCTTTTCCATGAAGACACGCAAAAGCCCCCGGGACCCTCCAATCGCCCAGGTTTCTCCAGATTCCGTCGCCCAGGCCCAGGCTGCAGGCCCAGCACGGCACGAAGTTCGCGTTCGATGTTTCGCTCTCGAGCATAATTTGTAGCAGTGGGAAAACAAAGGCTTTAGGCTTGCCGGAAGGGCCGGAAGCTTGTCAGGGACTGCGCCGGCCGGACTCGCCTTGGACCTGCTCCAACTGGCCCTGCACTTGGGCATGCTTCAGCATGCTTGGGTGAGCAAGCGTGTGGGTGTTGTACCCAGCTTTGAAGCGCTGCCGGTTAGACTAGAAGACACGAAAGTGGAGCTAGGCTTGAGATGGATTGAGTCTATCTTTGCTTCAGCAATTTAGCGGATGCAGTCGGGAACCATTGATTCTATCACGGTAAGGGTAAAGATTGACCTCGCCTGTGGACATTGTCTCCTGCCATGAGAGAGGGAAAAATCACGGTAAGGGCGGTGGGCATGGGGGACTTGTACGGTTCCCAGGATTCCTTTGAGTTTTGAGGACGCTGGGGATGCTGGGGTCGATAGCGGCATCAACAATGACAATTGTGGACGCTTCACAACCACAAGCCTGAGCGGCAGTAGGAGCAAAGAAGACTACACTAACTATGACATTAGCATGGTGCTCGCAACGAAAACAGCAACAGCGTAGCTCGGACACCGACAGTCGCACTGACCGTGACGGTAGAGAGCACTTTGCCCTCTCTCGTGGTTTGGGATAGCTCTAGATGGCCTCGCTTTGACCCTCATGTAGACAACATGAACGGAAGATGTCGCTTCTGTTCGGCAACTGGGCCATGCAAATGTAAAGCTCAGCAGCAAGCAGCTCATTGCAGCTCTGCCTTTTGGCCGGCTCCAGTGGACACGCAGACTGCACAGCCGGTCAGACTGCAGCAACACTGCGACACCCACGTCCAAGCCCAAAGAACTGAGGCGGTGCAGAAGTAGTGCAATTCCACGGATGATACGAGTGTCTCGTGAAGCCTTCACTGGCACAAGAACTTGTAAGACGCGCCGCCTCATCCGATGCCCGAGATGGCAGGGGCGGAGCGCAGGTTCGAGGGAAGGCGGCGGAGATGAGGAAGTTCGTGCGAAAGAAAGCTTTCCGCATGCTGCCCTCCCGTGAAAACTTTACGCTTTGGAAGCTAGTGCCGTATCATCCCCCACTCCTACTACAGCCCACTAAGCCTAGCCATATTGAACCTTTGCAGCCCATACAACTCCACATGTGTTTTTCTCATGTTGTTTGATCCTGCCGCAGCAATGCAGATGTACATATTACATACCCACATCTATGTACAACAGGTGTGAATAGAAATTATCGGCATTCTCATAGCTCGCATACCTAAGATCATACAAAGTACACAAGCACCCGTCGTGTGCAGTACGCAATGAAACAACATGAAAACGTGGTGTATGCAACCCGAAGCCCTAAGCTTAGCCTAGGACGTTTAGTGACCTAGTGCCACAGGTAAGCCAAGTACTGCGAATAAACTCGTGTAAACTAAGTTGCTCATCCTCCAAGTCAACAGTATACATCCCGTCAGCGAGCTCCAACATGGCTATACCAATACATATTCAGGGAGGCCCATGAAAACCTACATGGTGGGTAAATAACCATGTGTATGTATGGACATTTCTGTATGTGTATGCGCAAAGATACCCCCACACACACACAAGGAAAACCCTAAGACTTAGGCTTCACAGTTGCAGCAACTGCTTGGATTAAAGCCGTTTTGCACCTTCAAAACATCCTGGCAGATAGAGTGGCAAACAGACACACAGATAGGTAGGTAGAGGAATTTGCATGGATGGATGAATGAACAGACCCACATGTACATATATATATATATGTATATGTGCACCTTTGCCCCCTGACCTGTTGTTTGGGCAGGTGTCCAGTACAAGCTGCTTCCGTGTTAGTGTGGATGTGTGCACAGGGGGCAGCATATGTGATGGCGCATGCTTCTTTGCGTGTACGAACAAAAAATAAACATGTCAGAAGCAACAATCAGAGTGCGCAGGGGCTTTGTCCGAGCAAGCAGGACACGGCAGGGGTTTTGAAAAGTGCTTGCCTAGAGTTGGTTCCATGCCAGCAACACTGGACACCTCACTTCATGTTGAAGCATTCCAAACAGTCCCTAGTAAATCTATCTTGGAGTGGAGAGTCAAGCAGCTGGAGAGGTTGGCAGTTTGACACTTGCGCGACACCCTTTGAAGTCTGTTGGCCCTGCCGCCTGCTTCCACAAACCTCCACGTGTTGATCAGTTCAAGTTTGGAACAAGTAGTCTGGACCAATTGTGTTGAGGGGACAGACTGAAACCAGAGCAGATTGCCGAAGGGGGACAGGGTGGGGGGGGGGGGGGGGGGGGGGGGGTGGGGGGGGGGGGGGGGTGTCGTCATGTATATTCCTTGATAACGCACATAGACGGACCCTATGTGTATACATACACAGATATATCGATATGTCCACGTGCCGGACAATACATGTATGTGAGGAACAGTTAATGGCAGAGAGGAAAGTACGGTGCGATAGAACGAAGCACCAATGTGGGGCATGATGAAGTTAAGACGACCATGTCTGAATGCATGTTACACACTCTCTCTGTATGTGTATGAGAAGATATTATATCCATATACATATTTAATATAAATATATGTACTATCTATAAATTATCTAAACTTAGTCCAATCAAATAGATAAGCAACCATCTATGTGTATGTATATGTGTTATGTATGCGTGTGTGTTTGTTCGTGCATGTGTACCGTTCACAAAAGACGGCTCAACAGGAACATCCATAGGTTTTGAACTTTGAACGCACTGCTGTACTTGCTCCTGATGCGTTTTTTGCCGTCATTGCTCAGATCGAAACCTGTTCGGATTTCCTGGATTGCTGATTCGCTTAGTACTGAATAGCCTACCGGTTAGGAGTTGATGTCGAAACATACACACAACGGCGTCATTTGTAAGAGCGTGTGCCTACACCAGCAACGACGACATCAAGGCTGATCACACCACAGAGGACAAATAATGCTTATGACATGATGCCAGCTACATCATACATCCATCTCTGAAAGCACTCATGCATGTACCTGCCTTTGGGTGACTTTTTGCGCACACACACGTTCACACGTTCATAACATACAAACAAGCAAACAAACATACATACATACACATGTTTAATTTATATAGATATATACATACATGCACATATGTATGTGTATACATTCACATCTATACATATACATGTGTATTCATTCAGATGTACGTATGTGTATATGTACATGTATACATGTGTATATATATATATACACACATGTACATATACAATCGTGCGCCCATGCATCGTCATGGTTTTGAATTTGAATTTGGCATGCGCGAAAGCTTGTGTGTTCGTGCACGCTTTCGCATTTTGTCGGTTCGGTTGCACATCGGTGCAAATCCTACTGCTCTGGGCAGGCACCTTCTCCAAATAGCTCCGATGATGGAGGTAACCTACAAGGACTTCCGCTACTTTATGCGCCTGCTGTCACGACGCGCCCCTCGGACTGGCAAGAAGGCGTGCAACGGGCATGTGCCGCCATGTCCGCCCTGCTTGGTCTTGTGGCATCGACTTCCGCTCTCAAAGCTCACTCAGTGTTCGTCCAGAAGAATGCTGTCTACAATAGCTGAACTTCCAGCTAGTTCCGCGACAGTGGTAGTCATGCCTGCTGCTTGGCCTCAGCTTTGACAGCAAAGGCCCAGCTCTGGACAGAGATGGTCGTGGACGACACAATTCTGCACAACACCGAGACCGAGAAGTGCGATCGCTTTTTGAGGTACAACGAGGCTCGGGCTCGGATGGGGGTCTGTGCGGATCCCACCCTCAAGCCCACCGTCTCCGCGAGGCTGAGCACCCCATCGTCTGCCAGCTAGGACCGGCCGTGATGGTTGTTGTGTGGTTGGCTTTGGTGGACAGGCACTGCGCCGAAAGGTCGCATGTGCGAGACGATTGCATTGCGGCTGACAACAGATCGAATTGAACTGCCCCATACTATAGTGTAGCTTTAGGTTTTTCCTGTCTCACCGTGCTGCATGGCATAGCTGTTGTCCTTTGAAGCAAAGCTGCCAAGTTTGGTGAATTTCTTATACTGAGTACTCGGAACTCCTCGCTGACGAATCCCTGACTGCTGGTTCGTGGTGCTTTCAGAAGTCTAACTTTGTGCATCATCTTGCAGTGGCGTGTCACAGTGAAGCACCTCCGTGCAGCAGGAGGCAGCGACCCAAGCAAACTTGCTCAGGCAGCAGAGATCGTGCAGAGGCATCTCGTGGTGTGGTGACACGTAGCGCAGCTTTTTGAGTTTGGTAGGTCGGGAAGCCCCGGGGGCTCTTTGCCATCATGCAAACTACCACGCTATGTGCTGACAAGCTGTGGGTGCACGTAGTTGTCCAGTGCGAAGATCCGTGAGACTGCGACTGGTGCACTGTCACTCTGACGTGCTTTCTGAAGGGTTCAACTTACCGTCACAGGTCCCAACCATAGCTCGGCATCAGATTTCTACCCCAACTTTCGGAGATATACCGTGATCATATTGACTCGTGCTTAGGATACATTCAGACAGTCTTGCGTGCTGGCTGGTGGAATTCGGCAGTCGACTGCAGTTGGCAGGGCATTTAGTCCAGCAGTGCCCGCGATGCGAGGTATGGCTACGATGAGGTCAACCTCAACTGTGGATGCCCCTCCAGCCGCGTAGCTGGCAAAGGCCACGGCCTCACGTGGCTGAAGAACTGCCATATCTAGCTGGCGGTACACTTTGCTTGGTACACTCTATGGCAAACAGTTTCTACACCTGCCGTGGCAGCGTCTCATCATGCTTCAATGCACCGATTGAAACGCAGGCTCGGTTGCAAGCTTTGCTAACAGGAAACAGTATCGCCAATCAGGAATCCGGCTTAAGAGAGTGCTGCATCGCGATGCTGGCAAGCCAACGTACAGGCGAGTTCGGCTGCTCCCTGATGAAGAAGAAGGATGTCGTTCGAGAAGTGACTCGGTCTGCTGAAGTATCCCTGATGAAGCTCTATGGCCCTATGCTGCTCAAGCTCGATCCACCCACGCCGCAGCGTGGACTGTGTTTGACAAATCTGATTGTGTAGCCATCCCGACCATGAAACCAGCAGGCCATCCGGGCGATGAGTCGCGCGGTGCAGATTCCGGTAACCGTCAAGTGCCGCCACCTGGTTACACCGTTTGCGCCGCTCCTGCGCATGCCCAATTGGTCCATCAGAGACCTGGGATGGTGTTTCGAAGCCACCGAACCATTGAGTGCACGCACGTCACTTAGTTGCCCGCTTTTGACGGCAATGAAAGCCGTAACGGTGCATGACTGCATGACATGCCCAGCGCAATCCTAGGTTTGGGTGCAGATGAGTTTGACTCGCCCGAGTTCACTCGCGACTTCGTGAGAACCGTTGCCCAGGGCGGCTGCAAACATTTCATTATCCATGCGCGGAAGGCCTGGGACACACACTCTCGTACAAAGTCCAGCTGATAGCAGGGAATCCCGGACAGTACAGCTGTGCAGGCCTGGCTCAATGGGCTGTCACCTGCGCAGAACCGAACGATTCCGCCGCTGCACTATCCAAGAATCCTCGACCTTTGCCATCAGCCACTCGTGCAATCCAAATTCAAGTTTGCCTTCTGGAATCGCGGCATGCAGCGGCATGATCTTCTTGTGTGGTTGCAAGAGTTCCCGTTTGCATACTGTAGTATAAGTAGCATGCCATAGCATGCCTCGGTCACTCTGTGGATTGAAAAGACCCTGTGTCGTGGCAGCCACCCATTAGTGGCCAAACGGTAGTGAGACTGCTGGTTCCCATGCGATCGCTGAAAGGTTTCCAGATCTCAAGTTCAGCATCAACGGCGGGATCACTGATGTGGGCCATGCGAGAGTGCCTCTTTTGCCGAGTGTGAGTGTGTGTGTGTGTGTGTCATCCCTGTAACAAAAGGCTATTTAACGGTGCAGGCGGCATGGCGCTTGTGCTCTTAGCCATGCCAACGAAGATATAGAGCACGGGTGGGAAGGAATGTAGATGTACATTCCTGTACCTGCAAGAAACTGGCATGGGTGACTGATGTCGCAGCTTGCAGTTTCAACTAAGAGTGCCATCATCAGATCTGCATACTGTTTGCTTCATGACAATCTCGACATGTCACTGATGCAGTCACATACTTGCTGTTGTTGGATGAGCCTGGAGACCGGTAAGTCTAGACAGTCGAAAAGCAGCAGATCGGTAAATCTAGACATAGATAACGAAAAAAAGAGGACAAGAACGGGAGAACATAGCCACATTCCCGACTCACATATAGAACAAGAGGTCTACTGCAAGTGTGTGTGTGTGTGTGTGTGTGTTTGTGTCTGTCTGTCTGTGTGCGGCTGTGTGCGTGTCATTTTCTGCAAGAGAACGCTGGTCTCAGAATGCTTAAGGGACATCGTGCCGGGACTTGAGGCCCCTAAGTTTTGCCAACGGTCGCAACCATGACTGTATTTGTAGAGCGGTCTCAGTCCGGCGTGCAGTGTCGCAGCTTCCCGCAGCATGCAGCACGCCAGTGTCGAAGGCACTTCTGGGTTTCCCGCATCAGCGTTTGGATGGCGAGACTGGGCTTCCAGCTGATAGGCCTTTGGTACAGGTGGAGCAGATAGACCCAGATAGAGTCTCAAGGAGCCAAACTAGCGAAAGCATGGTTTGGGATTGGCAGCCTTCCATTTGCCCCGCGAAAACTCAGGAAACCGAAGAGCTTTACTCCACAGCTTGGGGCTGGCCGGGTTCGGCCCCTCGGATGGATCAGTGTGGGTGATAGTAGCTCCTGTGTTTCGGACGCTCCGAGCTGAGCTGAACAGAGTATGCATAGCGCTCTTCACGGATAGACAATCGCCACGAAGCGTGAGGGTTCAGGCACCACGATCCACGTACTGTACTGCATGCGCCAGTAAACCTGTTCGGAGAGGACGTCTTCTGTGGGTCTGCGGAGCCGTGCCCAGCTCTGCCGCCGAACCTTGAGGGTGTCATGATCGGCCGGGGCGCTATGAACTCTCCCTGCGTCTAAGCTGAGGTTACTTTCTCAAGTTGAGTCGCTGCGCCGTATAAGTTTAACATAAGCGACATGCTGGTTACACCGGCACTGTCTCCATTGAGTGCTCTCAACTCTTCGAGTTTTCCGAGGCATGCTGTGGGATGTGGATCACAGTTCCTTGGAGTAGCACCAAGCGACTGCAACTGCTCGGTGTGCTCAAACGACAACTGACTGACCTGCTGATAGTGCAGAGGTTAATCGTGGTCTTTCAACTCACTTGCCCCCACTACCCTCGATTGAGGCCTGTATGGTGAAGAGAAGCGGAAGCCGATGACACGCCGTGAACTTCTCGAGGGCTACAAAGAGCAACTTTGTCACAGAGACTCCGAGCATTAGGGCACGGAATTGTGCTGCGACATGCTGCAAAGTGGGCAGCAATCTTTCTGCATATATCCATGGGTCAGTGTCTCAGCTGCTGGCAAGTTGGACGCTCTCATTGCATTGCTTACCAGTACATGCGAATGTGTTTCGGATTCGGACCCAATATTAACCCCAAGTGCGCAGCTGCCCAGAGCAAATGGGATGGTAAAGTTTGCAAGAGTCCCTTGCATGGCAAGCCACCCGAGGTATTTGCAGGATGCACATACGGATGGCACTTCCGTGGGGTCGATCCACCTGGCTTTGAAGCCGACCCTGGGAATTCTTGCAGGAATTCGCGGAAACAAGGCGAGGAGTTTATCTGCAGCAACGGAAGCTTAGCTCTCAGTCGTCCTGCACAGGCCTACCGTGCTACTGCAGACAAAACTATGCGGCGGAAGGATGTTGCTGAGACACTCGCCAGTAGATCGAGAGCAAGTCGGGGCACAGTGTTCTGTTTCAATGAGTTTGCATGCAGCATGCCTATTGTAGCTCAGCTCGATGTTTGTTGTTAATCAGCAGTTGGGATTCCCTCTGCTTGAACCGAGAACGGTTTGTGGGTCTTCGGCACGAAATCCATTTGCCAAGTTTAACTTCGAGTAGATTCGTAACGATTTTTCCTTGCAGTGGATTTTGGGTGGGCTTGGGAGCAGTCGCTACAGCTTTCGCATCAACACTGACTGTTTGTATGTATGTACTGGTATGTATCTACCTATTTGCCCGTCTGACATTACTTGCTTTCGCGCTTTCTCATCGTGTGCCGCTCTCTATCTCTCTCTATCTCTCTCTCTCTATCTCTCTCTCTGTCTCTGTCTCTGTCTCTGTCTCTCTCTCTCGCTCTCTCGGCTGCGGTGCGACCGGGCCCGGCATCAGCGTTTTCGCCATTGAGCCGTTCAGGATGGGCCCTGCCTACGTTCTGGAAGCCGCTATCCAAGCCGTAGACGAGGCAAATCCAGGCTGCGCCGAAGGTTTTTTTTCAAGTCTGTTTTTCAAGTCCGTACGAGAGAAACCCACGTACAAAAAGCATCTGCCTCAACGCTGCTGTTCTGCTCACGGTGGATGGCGAAAAGATTTATTGTCAAACGACAGGTGTGCTGGATGAAGCTCTGCCCGCTACGGTGGCATTCAGGCAACCGCCTGCAGCTCCCAGGCTTGTCTAACTAAGCATTCCGATCCGCAAACTAGAGCGCTTGTGGCACTATCATTCCGGTGACAGAGACTTGCATCGACTAGTCCCTTTTCGTTTCGCGTTGCATTGCAAACCAGAACACGTTCCGAGGCAGACACCCCGCGTGGACAGAAACGCAAACCAGCAGAGGTGGTGCCTTCAGAGGCCTTGAATTAGGGAAAGTTACTTCGATTATAGCAGAGGCAGCGGGCGTCGCCTTGACAGCTACTGGCAGGGATTTGTGGGGATGTGTTAGTCGTGGGATCGTGTGGAAGCAGCCTGCGGCTCGCTCGCTGCAAGCACGCTTGTTTTCGTGAGACACCTGCTGCAGTACACCGAACCCGACATCTGTTGGTTCGTGTTACCGTAGGATCCGTAGGGCACAGAAGGAGGTGGTGGAGTTTCACACTCCCACTCCTACTACTACTACTACTACTACTACTACTACTACTACTACTACTACTACTACTACTACTACTACTACTACTACTACTACTACTACTATACTTATGCTACTACTACTACTACTACTACTACTACTACTACTACTACTACTACTACTACTACTACTTCTACTACTACTACTACTACTACAACTATTACTACTACTACTACTACTACTACTACTACTACTACTACTACTACTACTACTACTACTACTACTACTACTACGACTACGACTACGACTACGACTGCGACTACTCTACTCTGCTACTACGACTCATTCGGCCATGCAAGAGGCAAAAACTACGACGACTACTACGACTACTGCTACTAAACTTCCTGCCTCTGCTAACATTGCTACCACTTGCTAGCAGCAGTTGATTGCGGTAGAAATAGTACTAGTAATAGTAATAGCCATAGGAATGGTACCATTCTTCGTGACCGAGCCAGGCGATGGACTCACAGGCGGCGTCTGAGAGTGGATCATGCGCTGGTCCAATGGAAGCTGTGCAGATGGCAAGCCCAGCGCTGCTTGCAGCTTGATCCAGCTTGTTGATGCGGAGAGCATGGCATGCGAAAGGCTTGAAATCTTCTCCAGCTGACAAATCACTTCCTCGATGCTCGACATGTTTCACATGCTTGCGAGTGACTCTTGCAGCATCCTGATCCCCAGCATTCTGCCGCATCCTTGCAAACCAACCCGTTTCCGGAGCTGGGGACCGGAGAGTCCAACGATTTCTGGACGCGCCCATTCAACTCTCTGGGAGTTGCGGGAGCCATGTGGCTCCATATCGTATGTAGGCTCGGATCCATGTCCACCATTCTCTGGCACTCCCAGGTCTTGATTGCCATGCAATTAGGGCAAACCCGTCTCGAAGCGCTGGCGTGTCGTCAGAAAGGTGAGGCTGCAGCTGCTGTGCCATAAGCAAGCATGAGGAAGATGCTGCTGTGCTAAGTTGAGCATCCGAAGGCCGGACTTGCCGCCTCGGCATCCAGCGCTGCGTCTGCCACGGCATACGCTGTAGATGCTCCGATGCTCAGGTTTACGGACTCCTGAGTGAGGTCTCGTGTAGCGACAGAGAGCAGTCTGCGGTGGTCGAGCGGACGGTCATTCGCCATCTTCTTTGTTGCTGAAGGTCCCCCAAAACTACTGTAGCTCTACATTTTCTGGCATGACGGCTTGGGCACTGTGTGAACAGAATGGCAGAACCCTTTGGCGACCGAGCGTGGTACGATCCTCGTAGACTTGACTGCGGCCATGACATTTTTGACAGAGTTTCAGACACATGCTCGATGCAAGTTATATACACCCTTCCGAGAAGTGTTCGAAGACGTTGGAGATTCGTGACCAAGCTTGTATTGGCGCTAGCCTGAGGCTGTGGTTAAGGAAGTGCGGCACTTACAGAAGCTCATGACTGCCCTGCATTGCATGTCGTTGCTATGCGTCATGTGTCCGCTCAGCCTCTTGTCAAGACCAAGCTTCACACCCGGCCATGCTTGCAATCCGAAGGAAGTGTTGCCGGAACATATTCACAGATCTTCTTGGGAGGTGGTGTGCTTCTTCAAATCTTGATGCTCGGTGTGATGTCCAAGTAGCGAATTCCAGGAGAGGTACAGGTGCGGGCGTGCTCCTCCGGTCTGTTGCACCTCTCAGGCGCTGCTTTTCTTCGCCATAATGCCGCAGGCACTGGCAGTACAAGCCACAGAATTTAGGAGGTGTGGCCCACTTGTATCCGTGAGGCTCAAGTCCACGTTGAAGACTTACATTGACTTACATGCCCACACATCACACTGCCGAGCTTGTTTTAAAGAGCTGCTCGGAGGACGTTGGGCTGGAAGCTCTTGGGCAGAGGCTCGAAGCATTGGGATGAGAACACCAGATGGGACGAGAGATGAAAAATCCATGCAGAGACGAGGCCTGGCACAGGCGCCGGTGAGGAGCTGCCCACATTGCTTGATTTCATAACTGCCGTCAGCATTCAAGAGACTGGATGGCCGCCGTATGAAGCAATGGGGTTGGTCGGATAGTTTGTGCGTCATCCAGCCCATGCATGTAAAGAGTGCCCAGGAGGTGTTCAGAGTTTTTGGACAAAGAGCACATGCAGACGCCGTGGCCCGAGCGGCAAGTTTTGACCAAAACTTTGCCAAAATGTGGTGTAGCTTCGAGAAGTAGGTGTTAGTCGTCTGGAGTCTATGTCAGCTTCCATCGCTGGCAATGCTGCAGGCTCGAGCGGCCAACGACGCATGTGTTATGTGCTCGGAATTGGCAGCATGTTTGCTGGCACGTGCAGGGTGTTCGCCGCACTGGTTCTTCTGTCGGTGGTGTCCTAGTCTTCGTACTTTGTGCTTCTATAGAAAGCGCTCCTTTTAATGCAGGCTTTGGCCCACCAGCTCGTGGCGAATGCAAGTCGTGGAGGCAATGCTGCGCGACTCTGCGCACGCACCGGTTTCGTGCCAGCCCCGTGACCGTCTATAGCTTCGTGACCTGCCAGCTGCTAGCTGGCCCATGCCTTATGTAGAAGGAAGACCGGGCAAGAGGCAGGAGGAGGGGCAGAGAACAGAGCGGGTTGTGATTAAGGTCACTAAAGCCTCTTGTACTTTGTGCCCGTGGAAGGACTTGCTGTGGTAGTCTGTGTTATGCGGCATTTGCAGGTGCCACGCAAAGGGCAGGAAAGCGCACGCCAAGACGGGCCTATTGTAAAAAAACTTTCACTACAGTCTTGCGATTCGCAGCACCTGCTTGGTGCAGGCCGGTCAGCAGGCTCCTTGTCAGGAGGCGGGAACGGGGCAGACGAGACCGGAAGTGGACCTGTTCTTATAGGGAGGTCGTTTCTGGCTGTCTCGCTTCGTCTCAAAACTCGACTGCGTAGGACTGAATGATTTTTGAGGCAATCTCCTGGCAGCAGCTTTGGCAGCCGGTCGAGTCGGTACACATGCAGCCGCGTAGCCGCAAGAATTCAAAGCCGCTTTTAAGATAATTTCGATGGTTGCATGGCATCTTCACGTACTTCACCAGAAACAAGCCATTGAGTGTTCAGGATCGCACCGCCGCCACCGCGCGAGAAGGTGCACAGCTTTGCGTGCAGCTCAGATCGCTTCTAGATGCCGGAGGCTCGATTCAAGCTTTGGTCTCCGGTCTAGTGTCGCAGAGCTCCGGGGCTTTGAGAAAAGGGGTCCAATGGCCCAGACCTTCAGCGACGCTGCTAAAGACTCGTGAAACGGAGCCACGATTTCCGGCCGCAGAAGCGGAGCGGATCAAAGCTCCTCCCCTCTTGGCGCCGCAGTGCTCACTAGAGTCTAGAGCTTTCGAAGCCCAACTCATTCAGGCATGGGAATTCTGGAAGATGCCGTTCAGGCCTGGAATGCTGTTGACTGCTAGAAGATTCTTCACGTTACATGCAGCCACGAAGATTCACGAACAAGCACTTCCAGTGAATTTCGAAATCAGGTGAATGCGAGCGCGTTGGCTCGCGAAACGGCGAAGCGATGTGCAGAACAGGACTGGCTATTGGCTATCCGACAATCCTTAACGGTGGCAGAGAATGGTCCTTGCTGTTGGCTCTCGCCATTTTGGCAGTGCAGCTTGCAAACGGGTGAAACCAGTCGATTGTCAGGGCTCAAGTTTTTCCATAGTGAACATGGAAAGGCAACTAAAGGAGCGCAGGTCGTCGATAGTGCATCGAAATAACAAATTGGAATTCCACCAGCTTTTCGACGGCTCCGCACGCGAGGCCCTTCGCAGCATCGAGGCTGCCACGTGCGCGGAACAGTCGCTCCGACATTTCAAGCTGTTGTGGATGGTGGAGACATGGGAGGCTTGAGATGGGCGCTTAAGTCCAACAACTTCGGGTCGGTCATCGGGCTGAGCTGCATTGCTCACGTCCCGCAGGTACATTTCGGAAAAGTGTTGGTTGGGATGGTCATCGCCCTTTGCTATCGCAAGCTTCACGTCGCCTACATTTCTGACAAGACACAATCGAAACATGCTGGAACGCAGGCTGACATTATCGGCTCAAGTTTTGGCGGAGTCAAGTTGAGCAGTGGTTCAGGCAACCTGAACTCTAATCTCGCTGCCACCAGTGGATGGTGAAGTTTCTGCCCTTCTTCCGACGCAGCTTGATCATATTGTGTTTGATATGCTGAATTTGCTGCTTGTGACCGAGAAGGAAGAAAAGAGAGAGAGAGAGAGAGTCCTAATTTGTCCTTCCGAATTGCAGTCGCTGAGGGAAGCAGCGCTTCACTAATGCACCTGGTGCCGTGGGCTGTTGTTTGCAACTTGCTCACCCCCCAACAGTCGGGGGCACTTACGCGCGCGGTGTAGAGGGAAACCTCTACACCATAGCCCTGGCGAAAGAAGAGAGAGAGAGAGAGAGAGAGAGAGAGAGAGGAGGCAAGTCATCAAACATCACAGCAGCGAGTGACAATCTCAACTTGATCGAAGGCATCACTACACTGGTACACCTAGGCTAGAGCAAACGCTCGGACGAGTGGCGAGCCACAGACCAGAGGGCTGCAGGCAGATGCAGCAGCTTTGTAAATTGGTTCGAGTGTTTTGTGCTGTGCAGTAAGCTCTGACGATAGCCAGAGCCCTCAGTGAAGCCTGATGAGGTCCTTTTACGATTTTTTACGGGTATGGTTTGGGAAGTAGTGTTCTTGCGGGGGTGAGGTTTGACAGGCACACTCGGGGGAGCGCACACACCACCCGCAGAAGGGGTCAAACTGGCACCCTCGCGGGGTATGCCCTCGGGCCAAGGGATTGCTTGCAGACCACTCTGTAAGAAAGGGTTTTAGGTAATGTTTTTGGCCGCGTCGTCGTGTTGGGTCACAGGTTTCGCGGGGTCGTCTTCGCAAGCATGGCATCGGATTAGAGCTTCAGCTGGGTCGCTAGAGCTGCTGCTCGTCCTGCTGCTGCTGTTGTTAAGTTGCCATTCGCTTCTATAGGCTTACAGAATGCTCTGGTCGCGGTGAAAGCACATCAGAGGTCAGGCTGCCCTGCAGAAGGATGAAAGCGGCCAGTCCATGGGCGCAAGAATTTTGACAGAGCAGGACAGCGTCTCCGAGGCACTGATGTGGTCTTAATTAATCGGGACTAAGTTTCAAGTCAGCAGGATGTACAGATCAGCTGGATGTCTGACGACCTTGATGAGAGAACCTTGGCAGTATTCGGTGTCCGCCCTGAGCAGCTTGTACGATGAAGGCTCTGGTGATTATGCGTGTCAGCAGAGCGCTGCAATCGAATCACGACTGCTTGGACGTGATTCAAGGAATAGCCTTTCTCCAAGCTCTGGCAGATCAAAGCCTCCCGATGCCGCAGAACGAGTCGCAATTCCATGCAGCCCGAGTGTTCAGCGGCTTCGTCGCAGCTTCGACCCTGCGTTAAGAGTGCGCCGCCGGCTGTGACACACCCTGGTCCCAGGCGATGCGACAGGGCCGGGGCCTCAGATCCTCTCAGAAGCGCTCCGCACTCTTCAGCAGCCAGTTTTTCAAAGCAGGGCCCTCCCTCAAGCGAACTTGACTTCAAGGCGCTCGGAATATCGTGTGGACCAGTGGATGGACCGCACCCTTGCCCCTGACATGGTTTCGACGTCGGCAGGGGTGGTGTGGAATTGTCTTTTGGGCGTACTTCCTCGAAGTTGAATCGAAAATCGAAAGTCAGTCGCTCTGGGATCGTCGTGCAAACTTGCAGGACTACCTACAGCTTCACGGCTACTCCATCCCGGAGGTCTGCGAAGCAGTGCCCATGATTGCGGATCTGTCCATGCCGACACAGTCTCAGACCACATGCAAACACGTCTGGTTAGTTTGGCCAGTGATGGGGATCTCGAGGTGACAAGATGACTCTGTCAGCTGCCTTCGCGTCCAAGGGGATGTGGTATCAGCTGCAGCTTGTGACAGATGCATAGTCCGCTAGCTTGGTAGGAGTGTCCGACCAGCAAAACGAAACACAACGCAGTATCATGAGCAGACTTGTGCAGTTACCCAAAACTCTAGCCGAGTGATGCAATGCGAAAGCGCTTTGGAACAGAGCCGAGTTTCCGTGTACAGGACCCAAAGGCGGTGTGCTAGGATGTGTCTCAGCTTCGAAATCTGGAAGAGATTGCCGAGGGTGCGCCCAGGCCATAGCCAACCTGGGCTTAGCAAGGTTCATGATCGGGGTCAGCAGTATGTCGTCACCTGCAATGCGACGTCATCCCAAATACTCATAAAGCCAAACTGGCAAGCACGTGGCACATTCAGATGGTCGATGAGGACACGCATGTTCGTGCCAGGATTGCAGCGTGGTGCCTTAAGGAAGTCTCGAAATGTGTGGTAATGGTAACTAGTATCTGCGACACGGTACCAGGCAGAGACCGGCACAGAACAGAAGCTGCTTGCAAGCCCCTGCTGTGGCGACTTCCCTACTCTTTTTTGCAAACTGATTGGAAGGTTGGGGCCATCCTCAACCTTGTTCATCACACAATGCCGAATTCGTATCTCCTGACAGGAGCGGTGCTTCGGGCGCTTGTTTGACAGCAGTTTGACAGCCCGAGGTGTGAATTAATCAGAGAGAGAGAGAGCCTCGTCGAGCCTGGGAGTTTGAGGCTAAAGAGGTATTCCACTGAGCGGCATCTGGCCGAATACCGAGCTCGAAGCTCCGCTTCTGCGACTTGCGAGATGAGACGGAATTGCAACTGCCGCCCAGGAGCGCCAATACATCGCGTTGTGTAGGCATCGCACCTTCTGTTTCTTCCCTGATCTGATTGCCCCAAGATCTGCTACTCTAGACCGACACTCCGAAGACACTGGACGGAAGTTGAATCTGACAGCGGCAGAGGTCCGGTTGTCTCCAGAGCTCCGGCAACGGACTCACACTGTGCAGCATACGCTACACGTACTTCTTAAGTTGGCATGCTTGGGCCAATAACATGATGTGCAGGGTGCGAATCTGCTGCGTCGACAGGGGCCGCAGCACTGCGCTTCGAACGAAGGACCACCGGTGGAACTGCCAGGCACAGTCGTTCCTTGCGGGATGTCCTCGCGCACACGCTGAGACGATGCCTCAGAAGCCTCGCGGATAGGTCTGGAGGTCAGCAGGTCAGCGGCACAGCCACATGTCCCGAACACCCACTGCCACTGTGTTTGCGGATGTTTGCGGAACTGTGGGCTCCTAGCGTTCGACGGAGCAAGTTGCCTTAGCTCAGCAGTGCTTCGGCTGGCCACCTGCAGTGGATCACATCGCATCTGAGGCGCAGCAGAACTCCAAGCGCGAGCACTGCCCACAGTCTCCTAGCTTCCCTCATCGGAGAGTGAGTCAGTGTCGCCATAAGTTTCCCATCTGCAGCTTTCAAGATACGTGCTAGACTAGAAGGCTTGTTACTCCTGTGTGCAGATATGTGCACAGCACGACATGATAGATAAAAGTCACATTGGGCAGTACTTCTGAAGCATGAGGCACACTCCGGGAATGCGGGCTTGCCATGCGACACCCTTGCACTGAGCCAAGAATCGTTGCGCGTTATTCAGCAGCCGAATGCGATGGAAACCTTAAACAGTCATTAAGACAGAGATCGAAGGCCGCACTGGCAGCCGCCGCACCATCCGTCTCGCCTGCGGCCTGAAGAGCGCTTTCAATCCTGACTTAAGTGCAGCTAGGCGGCTAGATGCTGCTAGGTGGTGAGCAGAGAGCAGAAGAGAGCAGAAGAGAGCAGAGCAGAGTGTTCTTGGCCCGGCGGTGGCCTGCAAAGGCTCTTTTGTAGCGGAGAGATGTGTGAAGGATTTTGGGGGGATGTCTCGAGAGGTCAAGGCAAGCTTCGCCAGATGCCGTGCGCTGGTGGCAGGCTCTTGAAGTTCAGCGACATCCGAGAAGCCACAGTTGCTGCAAACGTTCACCACCCCGCTCCCCCGCCACAACACGAACACACACACACACACACACACACAATATCACACGGACAGACAGAACATGTTGTGAAATGTCGTGCTTGCAGTTTCAAGATGTGGGGTGTGAACTGTGCAGGAGATTGACCTGGCGAGTGTACCCAAAGAGGCCAACCACAGTTGGGAATGCAGCAGTCGGAGTGTTTCTGAGAAGCACCTGCGCTCGGCTGCTAAGGCTGCTAAGTCAAGGCATCGCGTAAGTCAACAGCTGGCTCTCGGGTTGCTCGGTTAAAGGAGCGTTAAATCTGAATGTGCCATAGCTCGTGCCGGCTTCTGTCACCAACCTGCCACAGGCCTCGATTGCAGGGCGCGGTGTCGAAGCTCGCTGCAATTGGTTGCCTGTGAGCCTCGTAGCTTAGGGAGCTAGTTCTTCACATGCTCCTTTTTGACTCTATACTCGTTTGATTTCGTTTGTAACAGTTCGGAGATTCAGTCTGGCCAATCACCTTCCTGCACACTGCATACAGTAAGCGTTGTACCACATCTACTCTCCCTTGAACTTCTCGGCTTTGAACCGAAACGCCTAGAGAACACTGTGTGTATGAGTCCTGACCTTCTGGGAACATGTAGAGCAGGTCTCCTGAGATCTGCTGCATTCCGGCTAGGGGTGCGCCTTTTGTTAAAATCTAACTGTCATATGCGATTGAGTGTCGACACATGCCGTCCGATTGCACTGGTCACACTGCGAAAGAATGATGTCTCCGCTTGCAAATTCAGTTGAGCAGTTGTCTATATAATTAGTAACCTCGAAGAGAGCACCAATCTCAACCCAAGCCCAGGACGGCCCCGTGATCTGTACAGATGGTTTAGCTCGACATCTCGAGGCAACTGCGCGGAAAGCCTGGGAATCATTGTCAACTCAGGATAGCAGCTTTAACGGTTCAATATGCTTCGATGACCGCGGAAAGCCATTGAACCGTAGCAACTCAAGAATCGACATGCACTGGTCTTTCTTGCATAACTTTTGCGATTCTTGCAACACCAAGATCACTAGTCGTGGAGATGAAGCGGGACAGCAGTCTTCAAAACTGAGCCTAAGATCTGCGGCATCCCTTCATGAAGGCCGCTGTGAGGCGATGTCGCCCCGACGAGCCCTCCGAGGCAGTGACATGACTGCAAGTCTTCCTCGACATGCTTGGAGTTTTCGGACGGTAGCGAACTTGTTTTCGAGTGCAAGTCTGTGCATATGATTGTGGCTATTTGCCCCCGAATGGGCCGGAATATGAATCCGCAATTGTCATGCGATTCGACTCCTCGACGATGCCAAGCCGCCACCACATGCCACCGCATTTGTAGCCGCTTTCGGCCCGTGAAGCCGCCTGGCATTTCGATACGAGGACATGCAGATTGTTGATGCTGGTAGTGCTGAATGTCTTGCTGACGTTTTCTGACAAGCAGGATGACATGCAAGCGTCGGGCACTGATACCGGCCGAGCTTCGGAGAATGGCTCCTGCAAGCTGGAAATGTATATAATTTGTAAACTGTGAGTCAGGTCAGTGTACGCAGGTCGTGTAAGCAAAGACCCGGATTCGAAGAAGTGTCGTGCACATTTGTCATGCGTATTCTCAGTCGGTATCGGTAGCGATGTGGACAGTGGATAGTGCTTCGATGCGTATTGGTTCAACTCCATCTGCTTATCCCAGTGTACAGTGGGAGTGCGACATTTGCTGAGGCTGGCGGCTCTGGTCGAGTGGAGATTTGCCAAGGCTTCGCCATGTCTTGCTGGAAACACTATTGGACCTGGCTGTAGGTCGAAAACGATAGCCACGAGATGCCACGAGACTGTTCAAGCGCGAATCTCGAACCCTCGCAAAGTCTGAGCTGCACCAGATGACCCTGAAGCCTCGAAGACGAACCCTTCGGCTTCACACTCCACATACTCCACGTCGCAGGCCATGTCATCCCAGGTTTTGGTTCGCTGTCCTTATACCAGGCAAGCCATGCACTCTTCCCGCTATTCGGGGCATCAAGATCACGAACACCGTAAAAGCACACATGCAAAGTGGGAGCAGTAGAGCTGGGAGTCTGCTGAGAGGCTGCTTCGCTTGGACTGCAAGAAGAGGCACTGCTTCCACAGCTGCCTCATGGCAGATGTGTCAAGTGCTCGAAGCAATGATTAGCAGCTCGTGCTTCTTGCCCAGAACTGAATCTTGGCGGCTTCCGCTCTTTTGTTGCAGCTAGCATGCAAGGAGCGCGCCTGTCTGAATAAATGTGCTTCGTTGCTATACTCGCGGGTACTTAACAGAAATCAGGCCGAACGCTCAGCATGTGGCGGTTGACCTTCCGTTGCGCTGGCCAGGAAGTGCTCCAGGATGAAGTCGTTACACAGCTGGTCTGTTGGAGCCCAGATGAGGAGGTGCGCCACATCCAAGGCGTCGAGGTCTGTTCTCTCCCCATGCAGCTTCTGAAGACTTCCGTGCGCAGAGACAATTGCGACTTGCGAGAGGCGTCCCAGCTTCCCATCGAGCTGCAGAATCACATCAACAGATGTGGTCGAAGTCGGGACCTGACCTTTGTCTCGGGTGCCTTTCGTGTCAATGGAGGGGGATGCTGTAAGCCCTTGACATTGCGTAGAAAGAACGTAGATGAAAAGGCTGTTTGTGAGCTGGCGTCGGTGGTTGACGCTCTGAGGGGAGAAGCAACATGAAGGACAGAAGGTGCAGCTTCGGAACAGCATGGGTCAGGAACGGGGGAAGTTGACAGGCAGAAGTCGGAGCAACAAGAGAGGCATGCTTTGATCGGTACAGCAAGGTAGCTTGGAAGCGTCGCTCGCACGAAGGTGCTCAGTTTGGCAGTCAGGGCATTGGTCGACTCGCTTGTGATATAAGAATACTTTGGTCGGTCTGAACCCTTTCGAGCATCGTTGATGCAAGCCATCGCATTTAAAGCATCAAAGTGCGTGATCTTAGTAGAGGAACAG